TGGAGCCCTCTTGCCTCTTCCCATGAACTGACCTTGATGTGTTTCCTTATTCGTCTTGACTCCTCAGGTGTGTGTGACGGCTGGAAGGGGAGGCTCCCTTGAGAAAACATTGACAGGCCTCCTGTCTCCTAGCTGCCTAGAGATTGTCACCCTTGGACACTGGAAGCTAGGACCCCAGAACTGACCATACGCCTGGCCTTTGCTGCCCGCCTCCTTACACTCGCCGTGCTGACTGGAAACGAGCCAGAGGACTGAGGGCAGCCAGCATGGAAGAAGAGCAGGGGCTGCCAGGGGCTGCCAGGGGCCTGCTGCTGATTGGCCCTGCCCTCCATTCTCCTAGGCAGGGTGCCAGGAAGCTGGAACTTTGTTATCTGGGTAATTAGCTTCAGACCCTGGACCGAGGCCAGCCAGGTCTTAGGGGTACTTCCCACAGGCTGTGCACCCTGACCCCAAGAGGGAGGCGAGGCGCTGTGTACAGAAGCTTCCCAGCTGAGCAGCTGAGGTGTCAGACTGGCCCGGGGAACGACTGCAGGTTCCCCCCCCACACCCACACACCTTCCACCCCACCCCCTGCCACGCTGCCCTCCCTGCCTGGGCTCTGCCCCTTAGGGCAGCTGGGCCTGGTCATAGTGTGGGGCCTCCCATCTCAGCCTTGTCAGGGACAGAGGGCACCAAGTCTTGGGAAGGGGATGCCCCCAAGGGTGCCAGTCCAGCCAGCTGCCCCACCCTTCAGGCTTGGCCTGGCCCCCCAAACCCGAATCGTGGTGCCCCAATCAGCCCTGTGGGCAGACATCCACCACCATGGCCGAGCACCTGGAGCTGCTGGCAGAGATGCCCATGGTAGGCAGGATGAGCACCCAGGAGCGGCTGAAGCATGCCCAGAAGCGACGTGCCCAGCAGGTAAAGATGTGGGCCCAGGCTGAGAAGGAGGCCCATGGCAAGAAGGGCCGCAGGGAGCAACCATGGAAGGAGGTGTCTGGCCTTGGGCCTCGGAAGCAGGTCCTCTTCCCTCCCAGCGTCGCGCTTCTGGAGGCGGCTGCCCGAAACGACCTGGAGGAAGGTGAGTGTGCTCGAGTCCCAGGGCAGGGCACACACAGCAGGCACTCCCATCTGCCTGGGTGTGGCTCAGAACCAGGCCTAGAACTGTCTGTAGCTCCTGGACTCTAGCCCCAGCTCTGCTACCAATAGTCCACTGTCCTTAATAGGGGGTGCATGCAAGAGGTCCTTCTGTGAGGAAAGCCAGGTTATGGGATGGCTGGACCACAGGGTAGACATGGGCTTGCAGAGAAGTAGTGCTTGGGCTGATAGCCATCACTACCTCCTAACAGAGTGCAGGGCTGCCTGTGAATCCGTCCTCTCTATGCATGGCTCCCAAGCCCCTTCTCTGCAGAGTGGGATAGCATTGCTCACCTCTGGTTAGAGATGGAGAGCAGATGTTGGCCAGGTCCGGTGTGGGTCCTCAAGCACACAGGGCCTGGCACTACAGCACACTGACCCAGGCCCTGCCTTTGACTTTTCTCTTCTTTGACTGGAATCTTCCTAGTATGAAGACAAGCCTAACCTTAGCAGGCCCCCTTTCTTCTCCTGTGCCCTGTGCTTGTAACTTCTGGGGCCTGGAGGAAGAGGCATCTGCTAGCTCTTGAGGACCTTTCCTGCCTTCCCCTTCTTGCAGTCCGCCAGTTCCTTAGTAGTGGGGTTAGCCCCAACCTGGCCAATGAGGACGGCCTGACCGCACTGCACCAGGTGAGCCCTGCAGGATGGGGGTGGGGCGGGCCGGCTTCCGGGTCAGGGTGTGGGGCTCAGGTTGCTTGTTTGCAGTGTTGCATCGACGACTTCCAAGAGATGGCCCAGCAGCTCCTGGAGGCCGGGGCTGACGTCAATGCTCGGGACAGTGAGGGCTGGACACCGCTGCACGCTGCAGCTACCTGCGGCCATCTGCATCTGGTGGAACTCCTCATTTCACGGTAGGTCTGCTGGCTGTCCAGGTGGTGGTCAGGTGACCCCTTTGGGATGCTTTACCTCCTCTGTCAACCTACCTGGGATCCAGGGGGAAGAGTGTGTTCACTGTGCTCTTTGACCTGCTCGACAGGCTAGACTTCCAACTCTGAACCAAGGGTTCAGTTTGCATAGGAAAGTGCCATTTGGTCAGTGTTGAGGATGGACTTGGTAAGGAGGGAAGGAGAATGAAGAGAGCATCTGTGCCTAGGAGGAAGTGCCAGGGTACAAGTGAGGCCTTCACCTCCAACAAGGAAGGGAGAGCAGAGGAGCCTTCTCCAGATTCAAGAGCTTCTCTAGTGGGTCAGAGTATAGAAGCGTGGTCACACACAGGTACCTCAGTCATGGATCGGGGGGGTGTTGCTAGCAGGTTCCTTGGGCTCCTCTTGGAGCTGGTGATGACCTGCAGGCATCCCGGTTCTGCTCTTCCACCATGCATGGACACCCCTTCTGTGTTCTGGGGGCCCCAGAGTCCTTGCACATCTGCAGTTGCCTCTACTGTGTCTATGGGGTAGATGGGTGTCATAAACCTGAAGCCTCGGTGGATAGAGACTGCTAAGCCCAGCTTGGAGTCAGGATCTGGGCTGAGGGTTAGCAGCCAGGCCGGAGGCCAGCGTTTCTAGCAGGAGCTAGAGCTTTGTTTTCCTCTTGCCTGCCCTGTCCCCATGAGGACGTCCCAGGCTGAGGGCCTCTGTTGAGTGGGAACTTGCTGCAAGGGGACTGAGGACTCCGTGAGTGACGAGCTGTTGTTTGGAAGTGCTGAGGCGGCGGCTTGTCAATCTTCCTTGTAGAGATGCAGATCTCCTGGCAGTCAACACCGATGGGAATATGCCCTACGACCTGTGTGAGGATGAACAGACACTGGATTGCCTCGAGACGGCCATGGCCAATCGCGGTGAGTGTGCTGTGCCTGCCCACAAGGGGTGATGCCCTAGGTCATGCTTTCTCTGAGCCAGCTTGCCCCTCAGGTATCACCCAGGACAGCATTGAGGAGGCCCGGGCAGTGCCAGAGCTGTGTATGCTGAACGACCTCCAGAGCCTGCTGCATGCTGGGGCCAACCTCAGTGACCCTTTGGACCATGGAGCCACTCTGGTGAGGACTCAGTCACTTGGGGGTGTCTGTCCTGGGGCAGGTACTTGGAAGGGGTGTGGGGCTGGGATTCAGGGCTGAGTGGTCTGCCTGCAGCTGCACATCGCCGCTGCTAATGGGTTCAGTGAGGTGGCTGCCCTGCTGCTGGAGCAAGGAGCCAGCCTGAGCGCTAAGGACCAGGATGGCTGGGAGCCTCTGCATGCTGCAGCCTACTGGGGCCAGGTGAGTGTACGCAGGAGCAGGGAGAGGGTAGGCTCCTGCCTCCAGTCGGGCCCTCAGCCAAGCAGCTGCTGCTGGCTGCCTGCAGGTGCACCTGGTAGAATTGCTTGTGGCCCATGGGGCTGATCTGAATGGAAAATCTCTGGTGGACGAGACGCCCCTCGGTGAGTGTGGAGTTGCCTACATCTGGCAGAAGGGATAGGCCATGAAGGTGCCTGTGACACCTCTGTCCCTCTCTTCCCAGACGTGTGTGGTGATGAGGAAGTAAGAGCCAAGCTGCTGGAGCTCAAGCATAAACAAGATGCACTCCTGCGGGCCCAGGGCCGTCAGCGCTCCCTGCTGCGCCGGCGGACCTCTAGTGCAGGCAGCCGTGGGTAAGCCTCCCGCTGCAGGTCACTGGGTCTACCTGCTGAGACCTAGGCTTTGCCCCTGGGGATGCCAGCTGGCCGCAGAACCCCGTAGGACGTGTGGGCAGAGGTTGTGAGCTGGATGACAACGTCTCAACTTCCTCTCTCCAGGAAGGTGGTGAGACGAGTGAGCCTGACACATCGCACCAACCTGTATCGCAAGGAGCATGCGCAGGAGGCCATCGTGTGGCAGCAGTCCCCACTCACCAGTCCAGAACCTCTAGAGGATGAGGACAGGCAGACAGATGCTGAGCTCCGGCTGCAGCCCCCAGAGGTGAGCATGCAGCCTCTGTCCTGTCCCAGATTTGGAGCAGTCTTGGCATGTGATCTTGTTATTTAGTACCCAGTCCTCTAGCCTAGCTAGCCCCCTGTGGAGGCGATAGGCCCAGGGACCCTGTGCTCCTCATGGGCTAGTGACCTCAGGTATAGGCTGCTGACTTTCCCACTCTCATGTCCATCTACCCCCACTTCACATAACTTGAAGCCCAAGGCCGCTGTAGGTGAGAAAAACCACCTCCTGACGGCCTCTGGGCTCCTGGCCCTGCCCACAGGAAGACAGCTCTGAGGTGGCCAGACCACACAATGGCCAAGCAGGGGCCCCCCCGGGGAGGCACCTGTACTCCAAGCGTCTAGACCGGAGTGTCTCCTATCAGTTGAGTCCTGCGGAGAGCGGTGCCCCCGAAGGCCTCGCCCGGGACAAGGCCCACCACACACTGGCAGAGCTTAAACGTCAGCGAGCAGCTGCAAAGCTTCACCGACCTGCCCCGGAAGGGCCTGAGACCTTTGAGCCTGGCCTGCCTGTTGACACGGAGACCTCCCAGCCCGACTGTGGCTTCAGAACACCTGGGGACCCACCCCTGCTCAAGCTCACCGCCCCCTCGGAGGAGGCTCCTGTGGAGAAGAGGCCATGCTGTTTGCTCATGTGAAATGTGATTCCTCAGTGTGGCAGGGTTCAACCCCATGCCCAGCCAGAGGTTTCCTCATGATCTCTGGCCTGGTGGCCCGCTCCAGTACGTGCCCAGTGCTGTAGGGAGCCAGCACAGAGCCTGTACCCACTTCCAGCCCAGGACACTGGCCACCTTGCTCAGGGATGGACTATGCAGAGCTGTACCTATGGGCCTCAGGCCACAGACTGCTTATCCTGTGACTCTTGATAAAGGCGGTTTGCCACTGAGTCTCCCCGCGTGTCTCACTGTGGAAGGGGCAGGTCGTGCTGCTGGGTTAGGAGCCACCCATGCCCAGGAGCACCCAAACCTGTAGATGCATGCTGGCATCTTGCAGATGGCAGCCCCAGCTTTTGTGGGAGGGAAGCTGAAGGCCCCAGGCAAGGAGCCCAGCCTTTACCTCCACCTCTGCTAGCTGGTTCAGCTTCTTGGAGGCTTCTCTGTAACCCTTTGCTTTCCTGAAGGCAGCAGGAAAGTTTGGAAGAAGACTCTTCATGGGGAGTACAGGGGGTAACCATGCAGAGGGGCAGGGACCCTGACTAGTGGGGACACAATGTTTTCTATAGGATTGGGCCAGAGCCAGCAGGACGAGACAGGCAGAAGGCTGGCGGTAGGCTCTTCCCAGGGTCATGGTCTCAGTTCCTGGCATATAGCCCTGATCTTGGGGCATATCTGCCAGCTTCCGCCTGGGCTGGTATAGGTGACAAGCACTTGGCCACTCAGGCTGTGCTGGCTAGGCACAATGCATCAGAGTGAGAGGGGCCCTTTAGGGGCCTCAAGCTGGAGGGAAGAAGGCAGTTCTAGATCATGTCCATTGCATTTGGCTTGGCATGGGCACTGACCTGGCCAGCCTCGTGTCCATCTCCAGGGCCCGTCCTTCCTCTAGCACCTGTGGTTGGAGGGTTAGTGTCCTTGCAAGGGCTTGGGGGGAGGGTTGGAGGTGGCTGCTGGTTAAATTTAGAGTGGCTCTGTGCTGCTGCCTGCCGTCCACCTGCCAGCACTACTGCTCCTTGGGCCCTGCGGGGAGGCAGGCAGGGGCAGGCTCTGTCAGGGCCAAGTCTATAGTCATCTGTGCTCTGGTCTGAGGGCCAGACAGAGGCCAGTGAGCCGGGAGGCCACTGTGGCATCAGAGCCAAGAGATCCGAGGTGAGTGTGTCCCCACAGGGCCTCGTGTGGTGTTTCTTTCAGCCTGCAGGGACAGAGGGATCAAGGCTCAGCTCAGGCCTTCCTATCTGCTGCCCAGCTTAGAAGTCAGGCTCCCCAGCCCTCAGCTTGAGCCACAGATGTGTGTGTGTGTGTGTGTGGGGTGCTTAGATGACCAGTGCTGAGCGTGGCCTGTAAGCTTCCTGCAAGGCCAGTGGGAGTGGGGCTCTCTGGGCTTATCAGAGCTCACTTCCTGCTCTGTACCAATCAGGAGCAAGAAGGAAGGGGACTTAGTTCCTTTGGGCCTGGGCTTTGCCCTAAGGGCAACCTCAGGCTGATGTGTATTGAAAAGACATGAGGGTAGTCCAGGGTGAGGTGTCCAGGACTCTGTGTCCTGTCTCTAGTCTCTTCCCCTCCCCCCAAACCCTTGCAGTGCTCATCAGGGACCAAGGTCCACCCATAGCACTCTGGCAGTCCCCATGGAACCTAGAGACTGAATATCTCCCTCCCCTCCCCCCGGGCTCCCCAGATTCCTAAGGCCTGGCCTAGTTACCTAGGAGACAAGTCCACTTAAGTAAAGATGGGGTATGTATGTGTCAGGTCTGAGAGGGCTAGACCTCAGCTGGGCCTTGCTGGGGTCAGTCTCCAGTGGTCTTAGTAGGCCCAGGTGCTGAGTGCCCTCTTTGCCCAATGTCCAGGGTGTCAGATGTTAACCCGTCCGTCTGTCCCTACTCCCCAAGTGGGTCTCCTGCTCCCTCATGGGGACATTAGGCGGCACTGGGCCTCGCCCCAAGCCCCGCCTGCCGCCTTACCAACTCCCTCTGGCTCCCTGGGGCAGATCTGTGCCCAGACTGGTGGGGCGGGGCCCACGGTACTCCAGCTCCTTCAGTCCTTTCTGCCCCTTTCAGTAGGGCCAGAAGGCTGTGGTGAAGAGGGTAGTGTCTTACCTCAGCAGACTTCCCCATTCCCAGCCCTGATTCCCCATCTGGACCTTTCTACTTCCTGAGCCAGTATCCTTCCCCGGGCTGAGCAGTCATGGCCTCAAGAGTGAATGATCAAAGCCAGGCTTCAAGGAATGGACTGAAGGGGAAGGTGTTAACTCTGGATACCATGAACCCATGTGTGCGGAGGGTGGAGTACGCAGTTCGAGGACCCATAGTACAGCGTGCCTTGGAGCTGGAGCAGGAGCTGCGGCAGGTACTACTTTGGGCCACCTGCTGCCCTTCTCTAAACTCGGATTGCTGAATTAGTCCCCAGCCCAGTGGAATGTGGGCCTGCAGCAGTAGGATGGTGGTGCCACATCTCACTGCCTGCTCCCCTTCTTTCCCAGGGTGTCAAGAAGCCCTTTACTGAAGTCATCCATGCCAACATTGGGGATGCACAGGCCATGGGACAGAGACCCATTACCTTCTTCCGCCAGGTTAGGCTGCTGCACTGCCTGTGGTCACCCCCCTTCCCCGCAAATGCCCTGGCCTCAGTGTTTGGTTCCCCCAGGTCCTGGCCCTCTGTATCTACCCCAATCTTCTGAGCAGTCCTGACTTCCCAGATGATGTCAAGAGAAGGGCAGAACGTATCTTGAAGGCATGCGGGGGCCACAGCCTGGGTAAGTGCCTGCTCCAGGTGGAGCCCAAGCCTTAGGGAGGGGCAGAGAGAGAGACGGGTCCCTTGGGAAGGTTGCAGGACTTGCCCCTCTCACTAGCTTGTCCTCTTTCAGGTGCCTATACCATTAGCTCTGGCATCCAGATGATCCGGGAAGATGTGGCACAGTACATAGAGAGGCGAGATGGAGGCATCCCTGCAGACCCGAACAACATATTTCTGTCCACCGGGGCCAGCAACGCCATTGTGGTAGAGTGGACCAGGCCAGAGTAGCCCTATGTGTTGGCTAGATCAGGCTCAGTCTGGTGCAGCGGCATCGGCTCAGGGCAGCGGTGGGGGCGGGGTGGGGCGTGCAACCCTGGTTGCACTAACGCTGCGCTCCCTATCCCGCCCACAGACAGTGCTCAAGCTGCTGGTGGCCGGCGAAGGCCGTGCCCGCACGGGTGTACTCATTCCCATTCCTCAGTACCCACTGTACTCGGCTGCGCTGGCGGAGCTGGACGCCGTGCAAGTGGACTACTACCTGGACGAAGAGCGTGCCTGGGCTCTAGACATCGCGGAGCTGCGGCGCGCTCTGTGCCAAGCACGTGACCGCTGCTGCCCTCGCGTACTGTGTGTCATCAACCCTGGCAACCCCACCGGTATGCCTCCTATCTGCTCCGCCCCATTTAGTCTCGCCCTTCCCTGCTAGCTCCGCCTCCTCGTGCCCCTCCTATCAGCCCCGCCTCTTCCTCTGAGACCTGCCCTAGCTCTCCTGACCCAAGCGCGCCGGGGCTGAGCAACAAGTGAGCTTGGTTCTCTGTTGCCCATGGCTGACCCTATCTGTGCTGCATCTCCACACTCCAGGGCAGGTGCAGACCCGCGAGTGCGTCGAAGCCGTGATCCGCTTTGCTTTCGAAGAGGGGCTCTTCCTGATGGCTGATGAGGTACATTCGACGGGGTGGGGTTTGGGGGGGGACGACGACACCTGGCAATGGACAGCAGTTCGGCAGCCAGCCTGAATAACACTGCTGCCCCTACAGGTATACCAGGACAATGTGTACGCCGAGGGCTCTCAGTTCCATTCATTCAAGAAGGTGCTCATGGAGATGGGGCCACCATACGCGACTCAGCAGGAGCTTGCTTCTTTCCACTCGGTCTCTAAGGGCTACATGGGCGAGTGCGTACAGGCGCAGGTGGTGGGAGCGGTGAAGCGGGACGGGTAGAGGACTTTTTCGGGCCAGTGCCACGGCTCAACACCCAACACCCTCTTCCCGGACCAGCCTCAACTCATGTTCTCCCCGGCAGATGCGGGTTCCGTGGTGGTTATGTGGAGGTGGTGAACATGGATGCTGAGGTACAGAAACAGATGGCGAAACTGATGAGCGTACGGCTGTGCCCACCAGTGGCGGGCCAGGCCCTGATGGACATGGTGGTCAGTCCGCCGGCACCCTCTGATCCGTCCTTCAAGCAGTTTCAAGCAGTGAGCAGACCAGACCAGGCCGAAGACGTCTGGTGATCCAGCTTTGGGTGGAACTGTGGGGGACACATTGAAACCCTCTTCCATAATTCCCTCCTGTGGTTGCAGGAGAGGCAGGAGGTGCTGGCTGAGTTGGCAGCCAAGGCTAAACTCACGGAGCAGGTCTTCAACGAGGCTCCTGGTATCCGCTGCAACCCAGTGCAGGGAGCCATGTATTCCTTCCCTCGAGTGCAGCTGCCCCCACGAGCAGTGCAGCGTGCTCAGGTGGGGAATGCAGGGTCATGTCGGGGCTGAGCGGGGGGTGGGGGGTGGGGGTGGGGGGGGTGGGGGGGGTGGGGGGGGGTGGTAGGGTAGGGGTGGGAGGGGGGGTGTTGGCCTGGGTGCTGTGACCTGACCACCCTGCTGATCCCCAGGAACTGGGCCTGGCCCCTGACATGTTCTTCTGCCTGCGTCTCCTGGAGGAAACTGGCATCTGCGTGGTACCTGGAAGTGGCTTTGGCCAGCAGGAAGGCACTTATCACTTCCGGTGAGACCTGGTATGTGTTGACCCCACCGCAAACGGGCCTGTGTCCCAGGCTTACTGTCTGTCCTTTTCAGGATGACCATTCTGCCCCCCTTGGAGAAGCTGCGGCTGCTGCTGGAAAAACTGAGGCATTTCTATGCCAAGTTCACCCAAGAGTACTCCTGAAGTCACAGCTGGGACCACTCTGGACGGCCTCTGACTGAACAAACTGAGGGTCCTTGGGAGCTTCAGTATTTGCTGCTTTTGCCTAGGGCCTGGGTACCTCTCCCTGCAGGTCCCTAATAAAGCTGGGTGTCAGCCTGACTTGAAGTGGCTGCCTGGGGGACCCCAGCTTTTGATTTACCTGATTGGCTTTGAATAGGCACATGGACCCCACTCGAGGGACACTAGACACCTCATCTAAAGGAGTTGTTAAGGACGGCTCCCAGGAGAGGGCCCTTCAGGCTGTCATTCATTCATTTGTCTTAAGAGACAGGTGCATCTGTAGGCTAGGTCTTCATTATCATCTTAAATGTGGGGCATGTGATGACCCGTGAAAATCAACTAACATACAAGTAAAGAGTGTGAAGGCAGGTGTGGATCACATCTGCCTTTTAGGGCCACTCCAGAGGCACTGGGGAGGGGGATGAGTTGCAGGGAATTCCAGGGGAAAGAGACCTTAGAGGTTGCATCAGAAATAGTAAGTTCCCTAGGATACACAAATGTGTGCCTTGTTCTGGGCACTTCCTGTGCCAACCACAGGGTGGCGCTGTTAAGCAGGGTTACGACCAAGTTAAGAGTGGCAAGGGCTTGGGAAGACTGGTGCGGGGCAATGCAGGGGAGGGTCTTTGCAAACCTCCTCTCGGAACCCTTGGGGCAGATGGGTGCTAACGGGAGAAAACATCCTGGGGTGGGGACTCAGGAAGGTATGCGCCCCCGTGCACAGTAGGTACTGCTGTGATTCACTGGCGGGGCCTGCGGTGCTCCTCTGAGGGAGGCAATAGCAGTCATCCCTCCCCCCAAGTTATTTGTGGTGCTAGGGACTGAATTTAGACCATTGAACTATATCCTGCCCACCACCCTTCTTCAATTTTAAGACATGGTCTTGCTAAGTTAATCCAGTCAACCTTAAATGCATGATGCTCTTGCCTCAGCCTGAATTGCTGAAATTATAGGTGCTCACAACCATGCCCCAAAGTAGAACCCATTTTATAGATATGAAAACCTGGACCCTGAATCTATCTGGAAACGACAGGACAGCCTCTCAGTGGAAGCAAGGCAATGCCAGGATGCTCAGACTTGGACACAAAGGCAGTACCCAGTTGTCCGTTATGGAGGCAGTTCTTAACCCATGGTCTCATTGAACAGCCTTATTGTGGTCTTGGGCGGGCACAACTCTGGGAAGGGGGAAGAGATTGGGCATGAGCCTTCCTTGCAGGGCCAGAATCATGTGTGCCGGATGAGCTACCCTCACTGAACACTGCAAGGGAAGGGGGAGTCACGGGCAGGATGATTGGGTCCTGACCTTTCCCACAAAACTCCAGCAACTGAGGTAGCATTGCCTTGGGGAGGAGGCTCTGAGGCCACAGTCATAGCAAGGTATGGGGAGCAGAGTATTAGAAATGCACACACCGGGGTTGGGAATTTAGCTCAGTGGTAGAGCATTTGCTTAGCAAGTGCAAGGCCCTGGGTTCGGTTCTCAGCTCTGGAAAATGAAAAAAGAAAGAAATGCACATGCCTTTAATCCCAGCACACAGGAGGTAGAGGCAGGCAGATCTCTGTGTTTGAGGCCAGCATGGTCTATAGAGTGAGTTCCAAGACAACAGGGCTACACAGACTCTGTCTCCCATAAATAAACAAACAAACAAATAAATTTTAGAAAGTGCTTCTGGAACGAATCTGGCAACCATTGAGCAGAATGGAAGATTCCTGTATCTCAGCTTCCTTCCCAGATACTCCTACAAGCGGGAAGCACGAGAAGCAGGCAGCTGCATCCCAGTTTGTCACCAGGGGCGCCAGAGCAGATGTTCTCGGTCTGCGAAGGCATCTGTAGCCTGCTTGACATTCGTGCTGGGGATTTTGACCAATTGAGGACTAGACTGCGGAATGAACAGGGAGTTGGCTCCACCCTCAGCCAGGGAAGCCCCGCCTCTCCCATAGCCTGACCCCTGCGCAAAGCATGCTGGTAGCCATGGGCTGCGCGCAGGCCCATCACGCTCAGATCTGTTCTGCGCTTTCCCCCCAACTTCGGTACTTCCGGGATATTGGGGGAGCGGGGGTGGGGAGCCCGGTGCGCACTCGAGATCCCGGCCTGATTGTTCCTGACCCTATGTAGACGGCCTAGACCGTGACTTTCCACCCTGAGCCATCTGGTGAACCACGAGCTGGCCATGCATGGGAAGCTGCTGCTGCTGGCCGGCCTCTATCTTGTGCAGGGTCTGCCCTATGGACTGCAGTCCAGCTTGCTGCCCATTTTACTGCGGGCCCATGGTCTCTCCCTGACGCGTGTGGGTCTGACCAAGGGATTGTATGTCCCATGGCTGTTAAAACTGGCGTGGGCGCCACTGGTGGACAGGCGGGGCTCCCCTCGGGTCTGGTTAACACTCAGCACAGTGGCCCTGGGCCTGGTGTGTGGACTGCTGGCTGTGTTGCCTCCCCCGCAAACTGGCCAGACAGGCCTGCCCATCATCATGATGGGGCTGCTGCTGCTGCTGAATCTGGGTGCAGCAGTGCAGGACGTGGCTCTGGACACAGTCGCTGTGCAGCTGCTGGAGCCAAAGGAGCTGGGAGCTGGGAACACTGTACAGGTGGTGGCTTACAAGCTGGGATCAGCACTGGCTGGGGGGGGCCTATTGGTCCTCTTCCCGACCCTGTCTTGGCCATTGCTTTTTCTGCTCCTAGCTGCCACCTACTGGCTGGCTGCTGCCTTAGCCTGGGCTGCACCAACCTTGGGACAGCTGCCTTGGCCTCAGGTCTCAGAGCATACCACCCCCACATCCTCCTATCTTCTACAAGATTTGATGGCTGTGCCTGGGACCCTCTGGACAGCAGGCTTTGTGCTCACCTACAAGCTGGGTGAGTGTGGCTTTGAGTTAGGCAACATCAAGCCAGGAGCCCTAACTTCCCTGGGGCCCTGAAGCCCACTTAGGGTACTGCCCTACTCTGGGGTATCAGCGCAGCCCTCCCCAGAGCTCTGTCGCTCGGTCTTGCCTCACCTTCAGCCACAGCCCACTGGTAACCCGGATAGTGCCTCAAACTAACTGGGCTGGAAGGCCCGGCCTTTTCTAACACCTGGGGCCCATGAAAATGAAGGAGAGCAGGGGCCGAGGGGTTAGAGTGCTGAGGCCCGCCCCAGGAAGGGAGAAAGGAGAAGGGACCATCCCTGCTTATGGTCTCCTGCAGGTGAGCAGGGAGCTGGAAGCTTGTTTCCACTTCTCCTGTTGGACCATGGTGCTTCTGCCTCAGACCTGGGGCTATGGAGTGGCTTGGGTGCCGTGACCTGCTCCATTGCTGGCTCCTCTTTAGGTGGGGCTCTACTGGCCCGGCACTGGTAAGCACTCCCCACCCCTAATCTGACCCTCATCTCCACCCCTGTCTCCCAGGGAATCTTACCATATCCAATTCCCACTCCAGGCAGCCTCTCTCCCTATTGAGGTCAGTGCTGCAGCTACGCCTTGGGAGTTTGGCCTGCCAGACGGCTCTGCTTTTCTACCTCAGTACCCCAGGGGCCAGTCTGGACCCTGGTACAATCACGAGAGGTGAGAGGTTAGCCTTGAGGAAAGAGGGAGGGGGCAAGAGCCTGGAGCCCCACTGACCTTTGTTCTCCTAGGGACAGCTTTGCTGAGCCTGTGTCTACAGCAGTTTCTGGGTGGTGTGGTCACCACCGCCACATTCACTGTGATGATGCACTGTAGCCAGCTGGCACCCAGAGCCCTGCAGGTAAGATGGGGGGGCAGGGATGCCCAGGGGCTGCAGGGCTAGGGAGCCACTAGGCCCTGATCTGTATTACCATCCCCCAGGCCACGCATTACAGCCTCCTGGCCACTCTGGAACTGCTGGGCAAGCTGCTACCAGGTACCCTGGCTGGAGTGCTGGCTGATGGCCTGGGCCCACACCTCTGCTTTGCTGCCTTCCTTGTCCTCTCAGGGCTGCCCATTCTGGATCTCAGCCTGGCACCCAGTAACCTGACCTGAGCTGTCCGTAAAGCCAATAAAGCTATCTATGGCCTGGCTGTCTGAAACACAAAAGATGTAGCTATCTTGAAACTGAGGACTGTGTTACCAGAAAGGACAGAAAATTACTGAATGCTTTTTATTTGGCACTTTGGATCTTCTTGTTCCCTGCCTGCAGCGGGGAGGTTTTGCCTACTGGTCAGTGATGGCTACATCATCGCCTTGATGAGCAGATGAACCTGATACCCTCTCTGTAGTGGCCACAGTCTGGCTTGCCTCATGTCTCCATCATGTAGCACTCTCCCATGGAGGGTGGTTATCGGCCTATCAGCAGGAGCTCTTCTGTAGCCAGGCGCATCAGGGCGTGGAAGTTCAGATGTAGATACTTTCTCCAGAAGCGCCGGTCCTGCCCATATACCTGGGCTGGGTAGCATGGACTTGCTATGATGGAGAAAAAACAGGCTTGAGGACTCAGCTCGACTCTAGCCCAACTCCTGCCTACATCAGGCAGCCCCGTGGTCCTCACCAATGCCATGGAAGATGCGGGCCACAGCCCGTCCTGAAAACCTTTCCTCTGGCCTCACAGACAGGAGCTGACGGATATCACGACGAATATGGTCCTCCCAGTCCTGAAGCTGTGGGAGGATGGCATGTGACCTCCCCTGAGCCCCCATGGCATCTGTCACATAAAATCACACCCCAAGCAGCTCAAGAAATCTTGAGCCAGGCAGGGCTTGGAGCGTGGTTGGGTTGTATGCTGGTATATCATTATCCTTGGCTTTAGGAATCATCCTCAGAGGGGTGGCACTTACCTCATTCTGCCCGGGCTCTGGACCCTGCTCATCCTTCACAGATTCCTCTTCCTCAAAGTAGTGGCTGAGCAAGGTCTTCAACTGGTTGCTGCGCTCCTCATCACACTGCTCTAGACAGGGTCCACAACTGGGGAAGGCCACACTGGGGAGGAGACAAATCTGTCAAGAGTGCCCAGAGGGTCGGAGTGGGTGGCATAGGCCCTGCCTACCTTCTTCCCACCTGCGAAAGGCCTTAGATATGTGGCGTAGATGGGTCAGGGCCTTGCGTTCACGAGCCTGCACACGGCTGTACAGAAAGTCACAGATCTGGTCCTTCTCCTCATCTGTCAGGTCTCCAGGACTGTGCAGGTAAAAGGCCAACTCGCTGAACTCCACATGCACCCCTGTGCCCCGTGGCGCACCTGTCAGCGAGTGTGCTGGTCAGAGGCGGACAGGCGGCTAGCACGAGCCCGGCTGGGGAGGGATGGGCATACCTCTCTTTGGCTGTTGGTCCCACTGCAGCTGGTGGAGAGCCCGCCGTACAGAGGCCAGCTCCCAGCCCATCGAGTCTGCCAGCTCCACCATGTCAAACTCGAAGGAGCTGCTGCCCTGATGTGTCTCTGTAGGTGGCCACTTGGCCCAGCATGCAGTCAAGGGGGGACACCTGTGCCCAAGGGGACAAAGCAGCATGTGGCCGGCAGCCCTGGTTCCTGCCTTTATCCTTAGCCCGAGGGGAGATATGCTCACCTGTGGGCCAGAGCTTGCAGCTGGGCACGGCCCCCAGGGCAGCGCAGATGGCAGTGGGCATAGGTGCATGGCAGCAGCTGCAGCCAGTGGCGAGGGTGTAGTTCCAGGTAGCACAGCAGAGTCTCAATAGCTAGAGGCAGAGGAAGGCTCAGGCGCTGTGGGGGTAGCCTCTCCCTCCCATCCCCGCATCTTCGCGGCTCCTTACCCTCCTCTGTCATGTCCAGAGCCTGTACTGTGGACTGCACCGGGAGCGCCCGCTTATGGCCCGGGCAGGCCGGTCCCACTTCAGGGGGTACTGGCTGGCCATCGTGCTCTCTGGCCTCCTCAAGCAGGGATTTGGTCACAGGCCTCGGGGTGCACGTGCAGGGCGGGAACACACGCTGCACCAATCTCTTCACAGCCCAGAAGTCAGTGCCATCAGCATGGGCATGTCTGCGCAGTTCCCAAAGGTCTTCACCCTGCATCGAGAGTCATGTGCACACGGCTATAGCCCTTGGGGCTAGCGTGGCAGCTGCAGGTAAAACAGGATGGCAACTGCGACTGAAGCGGCATGGCGCAGGAGCAGTGGAACCCCTGGGTCTAGCATAGCCTGGGGAGATGGGGGTGCCGACCTGGGGCTGCAGGAACAGGTGGCAGTGGGCAGGCTTCCCATCACGTCCCGCACGGCCAATAGCTTGCACGTAGCTCTCGAAGCTGGGAGGCAGCCCCAGGTGTAGCACAGCCCGAACATCTGGCCGGTCCAGCCCCATCCCGAAGGCTACGGTGGCCACCACCACCCGCAGGTGGCCCTGCATGAAGGCCTGCTGCACGCGTCGCCGTTCCTGGCCGCACATGCCAGCATGGTATGCTTCGGCTACAGCCTCAGGGCCACAACCTTTAGAGAAAGGTGTACAAGCGGTTGAGGGGACCACAGCAGGCACGCAGAGGAAAGGGTCTCTGGGGGCCGGACCCCACCCACGTCTACCTTTAGGCCTTGGATCCGTCACCGCAGACAGGCAGGTCCGGAGGAGGGCAGCCACCCGTTCTGTGTCCTTCCGCCGAGTGCAGTAAATGATAATAGAATCCAGGGTGCGAAAACGGTCACCTCGCAGCAGTGTCACCAGAGCCTGGCAGTAAGGAGTGATTAACATGGCAGACGGGGGGCTCCTGATGGGGTCCCTGGTATGTCCACACCTACCTGGTCTGAGTCTCTGTCCATGGACACGGAGAGGTGCAGGTTGGCAGGAATGGAGGCTAACCCACCGAGCTCAAGCTCTCTAGTTATGCCCAGGTGCTGGGCCACATCACGCGCAGTGCTTCGCGTGGCTGTGGCTGTGAGACCCAAAAAGCAGCGCACACCCATATGCTCCCGGAGTACCTGAAGCAGGGATCGGATCGAGTCACGTAGCCCACCTGGGTCCCGGTCCACCTCCATCCCGACCCCGACGAAGGCTCACTTTGCATACACGCAGGTAGCAGGGCCGGAAGTTGTGGGACCACTGAGAGAGGCAGTGGACCTCGTCAATGCAGGCGAAGGCAACTGGAGGCAGCTGAGTGGCCTGGGGGAAGCTGGCCCCACACCCGACCAAGGCCTCGGGGGACACAATCAGCACATGCACCTGGGCTGCCTTCACCTGAAGGGAAGAGGGTTGTGGACACTGCCCGGATGGATGCCCACTACCACCCGTCCATGGGGGCCCTCCTGACCTTTTTCAAGACAGATTCTCGTTGTTTCTTGGTCATACCTGAGTGGAGGCAAGCTGCCTTCAGACACAAAGGCAGGTCAGACACCTGTAAATGCAATGCTGTCATAGCCTAGCACAGCTCAAGCTACTCCTACATTCTCTCAGAGCTACTCCACCCACTGGAAGGGAAAGCATCAGATGCTGGGTCCTGGGGAAAAAAACCTCAGTGCCAGCCAGCCACCTATGGGCCTGGGCACCCCGGAGAGAAGGCACTAGATGGTAAACACTGGGCACTAGGCTGTGCTACCCTTAGGAAGGTCAGCTGGCCACTGGTGTGTTCAAGGAGCGAGAAGCCCCGAAGGGTACCAGAGGTGCCCGTTTTCAAACTTTTCAGGTACCTGGTCATCCATGAGTGACAGGAGAGGAGAGACCACCAGGGTGAGGCAGGGGCTTCGCCGGGCATAGAGCAGCGCAGGGAGTTGGTAGCAGAGAGACTTGCCAGTGCCCGTGGGCATCACTAACAGAGTGGAGATGCCTGGACAGGACAAAAGGCAGCTTTGAGGCTCAACTGGCCGGACACAGCCCGGTGCAGGTCCTAGGCAGCCGCACCTACCAGAAAGAATCCGCATGACTGCACGTTCTTGTCCGGGGCGGAAGGCGTGGTGCCCTAGCTGCTGTAGGGCCTGGAACACCTCAGCAGGGCTTTCTGTGGACACAGTTGTGGTGGTTTGATGAGAACGGGCCCTGGAGGTGCATCTATTTGCAGGCTTAGTCCCCATGTGCTGAACTATTTGGGGAGGACTAGGAGGTGTGGCCTTGTTAGAAGTGTGTCACTGGGGGTGGGCTATGAGGGTTTCAAAGGTCCAGGCCAGGTCCAGTGTGTCTCTGCCTGTCGATCAGGATGTAAAGCTCTCAGCTACTTCTCTGGCACCATGCCTGCCTTTCTGCTTCCCACCACGATCATGGACCAAGCTGCTGAAACGGTATGCAAGCCCCAATTAAATGTTTCATAAGAGTTGTCGTGGTCATGGTGTCTTTACAGCAATAGAACACTGACTAAGACATGTGTTGGTAAAGACTCTGGACCAGCAGGGCGGTGGTGGCGCACGCCTTTAATCCCAGCACTCGGGAGGCAGAGCCAGGTGGCTCTCTGTGAGTTCGAGGCCAGCCTGGGCTACAGAGTGAGTTCCAGGACAGGCTCCAAAGCTACAAAGAGAAACCCTGTCTCGGAAAAACAAAAACAAACAACAGACTCTGGACCATTAAATTTCACTTACCTGCTACCTGCCCCAAGGGCCCTGGTGGGTAGAGGGGCAACACTGGGCGGGGCGGACAGGGTACTTGTAGCTTTGGCCCATCAGGTTCTGTGTCCTCACCTATTTAGATAGGCAGGCAAGAGAGGGTGATGTGGGAGCACCAGAATAGACACAGCCATCCGGGCACGATGGTCTCCCATTCACCCATTCACCGGTCACATTCACCCATTCCCCCCTCACTCACCAGAGAGGTGACAGGAAGTAATGCCTGTCATCTGTGCTACTTCTTCCAAAGCGGGAACGGGCTGTTTGTCATCCCTGCCGCCTTCCTCCTGGAAGGTCAGGGTGGAGCCTGGACCAGGGTTAAGAGCTGGTAGGACCTTGGCGTAAGTAGTCCCCCCCCATCCCCACCCCAAATGGTTAAATGATCCAATACTCATGGCAGAGGCTTACCTGGCTGGGAGCACTGGGATGCCCAGTGACCAGCTTGTCCACACCGGAAACAAGTGTCCTTGACTGTGGCTCTGGGTCCACTGCCCCCAAACTGCTCTCTTTTCTTCTTCCACTTTTGCTTCCAGACCTGGGGAAGGTCCACAGGGACTCTTTAAGAGGGAGATGGGCCGGGCGGTGGTGGCGCACGCCTTTAATCCCAGCACTCGGGAGGCAGAGCCAGGTGGATCTCTGTGAGTTCGAGGCCAGCCTGGTCTCCAAAGCGAGTTCCAGGAAAGGCGCAAAGCTACACAGAGAAACCCTGTCTCGAAAAAAACCAAAAAAAAAAAAAAAAAAAAAAAAAAAAGAGGGAGATGGGAGGAGAGGAAAGGCTGGCCTGTTCCATTCAACCTATCTCACCTGCTTTCGGAGAAGCCTGCCTCGATTGGCCCCAACTCGTACGTAACATTTCTGTTTCATGTTGAGCCGAACGTAGTTCCCTCTGTCCAGGAAAGCTGGTCGCGGGGAGCTGGGGAGCTGGGCTGTGCCCTCAGCCTTCTCTGTCCTGGCCTGATTTGAGGACTTGCGGGGCTGAGATGCATTCACTTGTGCAGGCTCTCCTGGAGGGTCTTTCTCATGTGCCGCAGCCCTGGCTCCCTCAGATAGCAGTTCCGCTTGGCTGCTGTCCTGGGCTTGTTCAAAGTCCTCAGAATTCTCACTCCATTTCCGTTTCCTGTCTTTATTGTTGCTGGATTTGGGGCTCTGTGGCTGCAGGGCTAGGGCCTCTGGGCTCTGTGAAGATCCTTCTGAATGGATACCAGGATCAAGGACATTCACCTTGCCTGATATCTGAGGTTGTGACTCCTTTGCATCCAGGTCAAGCCCACAGGCACTGGGAACCTCTGAAACCCCATCCCGACACCGCTCCAACCAGCCAGGGTCTAGGGAACTCAGCCTCAGGCTCAGGGAGGCCTGAAGCTGTTGGAGCTGGCCTAGCCTTGGCTGGGGCTCAGGAGGCCGAGGAAGTTCATCATTAGTTTCATCTGGACAGGTCCTCGGGTCTGGCGGCTTTCGGTTGGGCACTGTGGACAAGGATCTCTTCTGAGGCTGGAGTTTGGGGCTCAGGGTTGGCCTAGTCTAGGTTGGGAAAGACAGAACAGCAAGTAGGGTCTCAGGACCCTGGGCTACTGCAGAAGTTTGGGACAGACAAGAAGTGGAGAGTGAGGTACCTGTGAGCACCTTAGGAGCCTAGCCCCACTTACTACAGGAGCCTGTGTGCGTGTGTGTGTGTGTGTGTGTGTGTGTGTGTGTGTGTGTGTGTGTGTGTGTGTTGTAAGGAAGGGTGGACATAGAGGGGCCCTGGCAAACTACCCCAGAGCCAAAGGTAGTTCTGGGTTCACCTCCACTTCTTACCTGTAGCTTTGTTTTTTTCAGATTGGCTTTGAGCCTCTTCCCATAGTCTTGTACTGAACTCCATGGTCTCTGCCTGGGCATAGGCTGTGTATTCTGGGCTGCAGCTCGATTCAGGTGGGGACCCCAGCAGCTAGGCTCCTGCGCCTGCAAGTAGACAGTAGCGGCCTAGACCAGTTTAAAAGATGGAATGGGCACAGAGGTGCCTCCAGAGCTTCCCTTTAAGCCCCATGGGAGGGCCTGGCCACCCAACTTTTGTGCTCCGTGGAGGCCTGGTTGCAACAGCCCTTGGCTCCTGCCATTTGACCACACCGAACGCTGACAGGGATCAAGGGTCAGTATACCTCCTCAGCCGCCTCGGCGGCGAGAGACTGCTCTGGGATGGGGTGTCCGTCCTGAGCCTGGCGCGCTGCCTGTTTTAGGTTCCGGTACTCACGGTAGAGCGCTGAGAAGGCAGGGATCGGGGGGGGGGGGGGGGGTGTCAGGGCACAGCTACTAACGTCAGCCCCGTCCCAGGCCCGCCAGCCCAGCGCTCACCGCGGGTCTCCTCGGGTGCCGCCTCCACATCCTCCTAGGAGAGAAGCTGGTCAGCCACAGGCTGCACTTGGGTCCCCACTCCCCGCCCTGTCCGGCCCCCAACCCCACCTCACCTGCGCCGGCCGTCTCCCGTGCAGCCGTGCGAAAGCGCGTTCCCACTCCTGCAGCCGCGCGCGGGCGCTCGCCAGCCGGTCCATGGCAGCCAGAGCCGGAGTCTCGGGAATCTCCCGCCGTCAAGTGAAGTCTCGCTCTTAGCCAATGGGAGCTGGCGGTGGGCGGCGCCGGGCGGCCAATTCGCTGGGCCCTCGAGGGGGGCGGGCCACGCGGGGTGTTACGTCATCGCGGCGCGCCACGCTGCTGCGCGGCGCTGGGCGAGGCTCAGCGGAGGGGCTGGATGGAGGCCTTGGTGCTGGGGGGGCGGATGAGTTGGGGCCGCTGGGCGGGGAGCCGAGCGGGGCGAAGAGTCGGCAGCCGTAAGGGTCACGGCGCTTGGACGGCCGCATCGACGGGGGCTGGCGCTTGAAGGCCGGGGCTGCCGCGGATTTTCGGGAGGTGCCGCTGCGCGGGGATGGGCCCGGGTGAGCCCCGCAAGAGCAGGGCGACCTAGGGGCGGGTGAGGATGTTCTCCACCTGCAGGAGCATGCTCGCCTGGGTTAGTTGAGGTTCCGGGCTTGATTCTTGAAGGATCCGGGCGTGCGGCATTACCCCCAGAAGCAATCCTTGCTTGGAGGCCAGGCCGGCTGCTTTTCTCTTTTGACAGGTGCTCGATCGCTTCGTCCTGTCAGCGAGGCAGTCCTGGCGAGATTACAGTAAGGTAGAGCCAGATCGAGGATAGTCACGCGGGGTTTCCCAGGGACTTGTCCCTGAAGGACTTGTTCAAGATGTGAGAAGCAAGCAGACCCCGGAGTTCTACAGCCTTTCTGCTCCCCACCCTTTGTCTGGTGCTCTAACTTTGGTCTTAGTTTTCCAATCCGTTACAGGGTGAGGACTGTAATGTGGTTCTGAGGGTAAGGTGTTTGGCCCACAGGAAGTATAATGATCCTGTGTATCAGGAATCCTTCGGCCTTAGGGGTGTTTTGCATGTGTCCTCTCATCTGGAATGCTTTGATAGTCTCCGGCCTGAATCTTTCTGAATTTCATGCATTTAAGACTTGGTGGTCTCTGTACAATCGTTTCTCAGTGAAGAGAGGATTCCCAAATAGGAGGCAAGGACCATAGAGGGTGAGAGTTACTTTTCCTCAGGGATTTCTGTGCTACTTATCCTGGAAAACTTGTTATCTCTGGAGTTCACACTTAATGGCCTGATCTCATAGGCTGCACAGCATCTATGCTCAGGATCTTTTTAGAAAATCTAATCCCAGCACTTGTAAGCTGTGCTTTGATTTCCTTAAATCCCAGGGCACATCTGTATGGATGGTTAGGCAATGGCCACTGGCTCTGTGGAAATTCTCCATCCATTCTTGTGCTAATGGGAAGAGAGGCCTGGGCTCTATTTGACTTTAAAAGTATTTACTTTCCCTTAATTGTGGATGTCCATGTCTGAGCGTATGTGCACACACTATGTGCATACAGGAACCTTCTGAGGTCAGGCAAGGGCACCTGCATCAGATCCCTTGGAACTGGAGTTTCAGGAGGCTGTGACACACTATGTGTGTCCTGGAAACCAAACCTGGGTCTTTTGCAAGATCAGTAATGCTCTTAAACACTGAGCCATTTCTCCACCCCTTGTCTTACAAACAAACAAATAAACAAACAAAAACCTAAAGCTATTAGAACTCAAGTACAAGATCTTTCTGTTTTCTGCTGACTCCAATGCTGGATTTCCAGAGGTGTGTTACCCAAACCCTGATTTTACATAGGTTCTGGGCTCTGAAGTCAGGTTCTCACTTTTGACTTTTGTTTGGTAAGCACTATACTGAAAGGAATCCCCCAGTCCCTTATTTTCTTTCTTTCTTTCTTTTTTTTTAGATAGGATGCTACTATGTATGGATAAATAGATTAGGCGGGCCTTGAACTCACCAAGATCTACCTGCCTCTTGCCTCCCCTGGTGCTGAAATTGAAGGTGTACAACTCCATGCCTAGCCCTTCTTTTACTTTTGAGGAAGGATTTCTGAGTCCTAGTTGTGACTTGGGCGGCCTAAAGTATCACTGTTGGTCCCCGCAGGGCAACAACTGTGCATCACAAGGCCACACATAGACAAGCAGGTTATTGACAGTGCTCTACTGTTCATGTTCTGCTGGACGGTTTGCTTTTCCTGTGCTTCTGGGGTATGGACTCGTCTTCTGTCCACTCTGCACAGCTCTAAGAACATACTAGGAATTACTCCTGCCAGGAGTGATGGCACCGGCTTGTAATCCCAGAAGAGGCAGGAGATTTGCTACAAGTCCAAGATAAGCTTGGGCTAAACAGAGAGACCCTGTCTCGAACCAAAGAAGTGTTCTTTTGTGCAGCCCTCCTCTACTAACTGTTAACTCCAGGCCACACAACATGGTGGGCTTTTGTAGCATGGATAATGTGGAGAGGGTGTGGCCTGATACTGTCTTCCCTAATGAAGATCCCTCTCCTGCAGGTGGCTGTCTGCCCAGTCCAGCACCATGCACACACTTGTGTTCCTCAGCACACGGCAGGTGCTCCAGTGCCAGCCAGCTGCCTGCCAGGCCCTGCCCCTGCTGCCCCGAGAACTCTTCCCCCTGCTCTTCAAGGTGGCCTTCATGGACAAGAAGACGGTTGTACTACAAGAGCTGGTGCACACATGGCCCTTCCCACTGCTCAGTTTCCAGCAGCTGCTGCAAGAGTGTGTCCATTGCAGCCGCGCCCTGCTGCAGGAGCGGCTCAGCACAGAGAGCATGCAGGCTGTGATCCTGGGCTTGACTGCCCGGCTTCGCACTCCAGAAAAGGAGGCTGGCACGCAACCCCTTTGCAGGTAGGCATTTATCTGAGGGGCCCACAGGCTAGGGGTACAGAGAGGATTCACTGAGTTGGCTCCAGGCTGTGGTCCTGAGGTGAGAAGGAGTGTAGTATGGGAACGGTCATATCTGTTGCTTTTGTATAAGGTGGCTGGGAGGGATGGAGGCCTCGTCCACTCATTCCCTGCTTCTGGCCATCCTTGTTCCCAGGAAGCATGCACTGCGGGTACTGGACATGACCGGTCTTCTGGATGACGGTGTGGAGCAGGATCCTGCAACCATGAGCATGTGGGACTGCACAGCAGCTGTAGCCAGAACGTGTATTGCCCAGCAGCAGGGTGGGACTGCTGAGCCAGGACTGTCACCGGCCCCTGTGGAAGTTCGTGTAGACCTGCGGGTCAACCGGGCCTCCTACACATTCCTTCGTGAGGCACTCCAGAGTAGTGTGGACAGCCCACTTCGGCTCTGTTGCCGGGACCTCCGGGCTGAGGATCTGCCCATGCGCAACACTGTGGCCCTGCTGCAGCTTCTAGATGCAGGCTGTCTACGCCGTATAGACCTGCGCTTCAATAATCTGGGCTTGCGTGGCCTGTCTGTCATTATCCCACACGTGGCCCGCTTTCGGCACCTAGCTAGCCTGAGGCTGCACTATGTGCACGGGGACTCGAGGCAGCCTTCTGTGGATGGCGAGGACAACTTTCGCTACTTTCTGGCCCAGATGGGCCGCTTTATCTGTCTTCGGGAGCTCAGCATGGGCTCTTCTCTCCTTTCAGGCAGGCTGGATCAGCTGCTCAGGTGAGTGGTTTCTACCATTGCTCGGCCCCTTCTCTCTGTGAGGACACTCTCCTTGGCCTACCTGCCCATGACCCTTCTCTAACCCCTTTGTCCCTGCAGCACCCTGCAGAGCCCCCTGGAAAGCCTAGAGCTGGCCTTCTGTGCACTGCTGCCTGAGGACCTCCGCTTCTTGGCTCAGAGCTCCCATGCTGCCCACCTCAAGAAGCTGGATCTGAGTGGCAATGACTTGTCAGGGAACCAGCTGACACCCTTCCAGGGGCTGTTGCAGGCTGCCGCGGCCACGTTGCTGCACCTTGAGTTGACTGAGTGCCAGCTTGCTGACGCCCAGCTGTTGGCCACACTGCCCACCCTGACTCGATGTGCCAGTCTCCGCTACCTTGGTCTCTACGGCAACCCTTTGTCTATGGCAGGACTTAAAGAGCTGCTTCGGGACTCTGTGGCGCAGGCCGAGCTACGCACTGTGGTGCACCCCTTCCCTGTGGATTGTTACGAGGGCCTTCCTTGGCCACCCCCTGCCTCAGTCCTTCTGGAAGCCTCCATCAATGAGGAGAAGTTTGCCCGAGCAGAAGCTGAGTTACACCAGCTCCTGTTAGCTTCAGGCCGCGCCCACGTGCTCTGGACCACAGACATCTATGGGCGCCTGGCTGCCGACTATTTCAGCCTGTGATCTCCAGGGTCCTGATGAGGGCTAGGACAAGAGCCTTTGGGACTCTGCTGGAGGCCCGACACGAGGCTTTCTTAGGTTCTCTGCAGTTTGCCTTGCTCCTGGGTGTACCTCGAGTCACCCATGTTTTGCAGTATCCTTCACCTGCTCCCACTGTCTGACCGACCGACTGTTGGTATCTTAGGACTGTACTCCCTTACCTTGTGTGGCTGCGCTTGATGGCTCTTCTGGGTTGCAGCCTCTCTGCAGAAGAGAGTCCCTGGGCACATCCCATGCCCTTAGAAGGAGTGCAGTAGATGAGGCAGAGATTAGGATGATCTGCTTTAGGGAGTCTTGGGAGTACCCCATGCGGTCTGGGGCCTCATGCTGGGTATCCTGTCTGGCACCTGAGGCACTCTATTACCCGACTCTGTGGGGTGTGAGCAAGGTACAAATGTGCAGTTTCTGGAACCTGAATCTATGGGCTTTTTGTGGTGTGTGTGTCCTGACTGGATAGGAAAGACTTGCCTACATTTCTGGTGTTGCCTCATCATGGCAAGTTGCTAAGCATCATCCAAGCTACTGCCCCACTTCCTCACTGTTATCACACTAGTCCAACTGTCCAGAGCCAGCGTGGACTGCCGGAGCTGGCGGCTGGGGACACCTTATCCACGGCCCCGGTCACCCACAGACCCCCGATTCCCGACCTGACAACCCCAACACACTCCGCTCTGTAGCGCGATTCCCGACCCGAAGGCCCCAACACACAGCGCTGCAGCGCGGCTTCAACTTTACTAATGAGCATGTGCAGGGCTGCACCGGCCAATCCCCGGTGCCCACGTCACTGACACGCGCGGCGGCAGGCTTAGCAATGGATCTCATAGGCGACACGTGGAGGGAGGCGTAGCCCAGACATGAGCCCTTCGGGAGGGTTTTGTTCAGGCGGCTCCTCGGGCGGTACGTCTGCGAACAGGGGCTTGGAGCGGTCAATGACGAACATCTCGTGTCCACGCTCATCACGGAATTCCTCGAGCTGCGCAAAGGTGCAAGGCCCGTCTGAATAGTCGTTGACGAATAGTGTGCCTTCCCCCGGCGGCGCAGGCACCTTTTTCCGCCGGCGTCGGCGCCGGCAGATCATAGCAGCCAGCAGCAGCGCGGTGAGCGCCAGCAGCGCGATGGCCGCTGCGATCGCCGTCTGCGTTGCTAGGCCCAGGGCACGGAAGGCCATGCTGCCCGTCTCGTGCCGGGGCTCGTGTCCCACGGGGCGTGTAGCCGGGGCCTGCGGGGCGGGTGGCTGCTGTGACTGCTGCCGGGACGCGTTGACCAGGAGATGAAAGGGCACACGCGCTTTGCCACCAGCATTGGCGGCCTCGCATTCGTACTTGCCGGCGTGAGCCAGTGTGATGTTGGTGAGGAAGAGCATGCCGCTGCCGGTGTCACGGGTCGCATGCCCACCCAGGCCTGATGTCCCACCTTCCAGCTGGGCTTGGGCTTGGGGTTTGCCATCGCGAGGCTGGGGCACCTTTCTCCAGACCACCAGGGGCTGTGGGTATCCCGATGCCTGACAGGCTACCTGCAGGTCTTCCCCCAGGTTAGCTGTGAGCTCCGGGGGCTCCACGTTCACAGAGGGAGGAATGCAGATGAGGCTACCACCAGATACTTCCAGTAGACTCTGTAGCGCCAGGCGAGGGGGCTCTGCACATGTGATCTTCTTGTCTCTGGAGCTCAGCAGCCGGCGGCCCCCCTCTTTGATCCAAGAGCCCAGCCAGTGAAGGGCACAATCACAGCGCCATGGGTTCTCTGTGTAGGGCAGAATACAACCTAGGTAGATGGGGTCCTGCTGATCCAGACAGAAGCCCTTTCCCACCTCTTACAGATGCCTATGGAGTCCCAGAACCCTTACCACCTCTTCCCTCAGTCCAAGTTCCTAGGAGTGTGTGTGATCCCAGTTCCTGAAAGAGCATCAGCTTCTCTGAAGTCCCATTTTGCAAGCCTCCACGTCCTTGCATATTCCAGCCGCACTGAAAACCCTGTCGTCAAATGCGCTCTCTCCAGTTTTTGCCTGCCTGCCCTCTGATGACAAGTTGCAAGAGCCTCAGTTCTGTTAAGTTACTCTGTGGAACTGGTACTTGGCTTCCTTACATGGTAGGGTCCTTTACCAAGGCTGCAGGTTCTGGTGTGACCCCGCAGAGTAATGCCCATGGACTGCCAATAGTGAGGCAAGACGGAAGGGAAAATTACAGGGACACAGGAAGGGAGGCAAGTCTCCATAGAATCCGGTTGAAACTTCTCACCAAGTGAGACTCAAGGATTACGGCACAATTAACATTTGCTTTGAAGATTGCCAACATAACAATATTTCTTTTAAATATAGAAGAATGTTCAAGTAGCAGTGAACCATACTTAAGGCCCAAGTGTATATAAATATGATCTTCAAGAATGACCTCACTCCTTTTGTAGGTAATTTCTGGGGGAATCACAAGAGTAAACCTTTGTTTACAGTAAGGGCATCTCCCCCGGCAACCCTTGTTTCCTGGGGAGTTGCACTATCATCTGTAACCCCATCCAAGGCAGAGAAACCACCCTATGGTCTCACTTAAGTTTTGTTTGTTTTATTTTCCAGACAGGGTTTCTCTGTGTAACCCTGCCTATCCAGGATCTCGATCTGTATACCAGAGTAGCCTTGAACCCAGAGATCCTCCTGCCTCTGTCTCCCGAGTGCTGGAACTAAAGGCTCGCGCCACCGTACCCAACTCACTTATGTTCTTTAACCATCCTTTGAGATGTAACTTCTGAAGCCATCAAAACCAGTGTATGTGGCTGCTGTAAAGGCGCTTGTGACTGTAAAATCCACACCAATGCTCTTGTGTGTCTTTCGTCCACAGCACCTGTCTTAACCCTCTTGTTTTACATCTGTGTTAATGTCCCCTTTAATAAACCCCAACTCTGCTATATCTTGGCTTATTCTTTTCTGCAGTGAAGTGAAGAACCTGGCTCTACCTGAGTCAGGGTCTGTAAAAAAAAAATTAAGAGAACTCCCCAGGCTGGTGTGGCCACAGTGTGGAGTGGTCTCTGTTCCTACCATATCTGGCAGTAGGAAGCCCCTGTATACCTGAGCCTGCTTCTTCCTACTGGTGCAAGAAGAGACCCTTGGCCAAAGGAAGTTACCTGTGAGGCGCAGGACTTGTAGGCTGCTCAGAGGCTGCAGGGCCTCTCTGCTGATGGTGCCCAGTTGGTTCCTGCTGAGGTCCAGCAGGGCCAAGGAGGAAAGCCCAGCCAAGGCCTGGTCCTCCAGTAATTCAATGCTGTTTTCTTGAAGATGCAGCTCCTGCAGTCGCTGAAGTAGGGACAGCAGATGATCAGGAAAAGGGGCCCTGAGAAGCTAGACAATATTGACCTCCCCCCCCCCCCACATTGACATCACGGCAAGATCCCCCACTTTGGGCGTTTGTCGCTCACCGGCAGGTGCAGGAAGGTGAAATCCAGCAGCTTCGCCAGCTGGTTCCCAGCCAGGTAAAGCACGCGTAGCTGGACCAAGCCCACAAACGCACCGCCGCGCAAGCCCCGAAGCCGGTTGCCGGTGAGCGCCAGTTCCAGCAGGCGTGGCTGTGCGCGGAAGGCCCCGGACTCCAGCGCCCGGAGGGTATTGTTGTGCAGGTAGAGGTGGCGCAGGGCAGCGAGAGGCGCCAGGGCGCCTTGCTCCAGGTGCGTGATGCTGTTGTCTTGCAGGAACAGCGTCTGAAGGTTGTGGGGACGAGAGGATTACTTCACTGGGGGGCATGTCCCACTCCCGTGGAGCGCCCCATCCCACGTGCCTACCTCTGCACCCTAGTGACCTTCCACCACACCTCTGATGCTCACACAATCTCCTCCATTGCGGTGGGCACTTGTAGCCCACTACTCCAATCCAAGACCCTCCAGTCCCACATGGTGCCCACCTGCGTCCCTGGGGGGATTCCCGGTGGTACGACACGCAACCGTAGGGCGCCGCACTCCACTGTGGCGCTGTAGCAGCGGCAGGCAGCGGGACAGCCAGTGGCGCGGGGCGTGAGTCCGGGCAGCAGCGGCAGCAACAGCAACCCCAGAAGTAGCAGCAGCAGCGGGGGAGCCCCTGGGGCCATTTCCGAAGAGCCCCACGGGGAAGTTGTGGCTTCCCGCAGGGACTGGACCCAGATGGGATGCGTGTCCTGAAACAGGTTAGCAGGCCAGTGCTAACATCATCCAGCCAGCGCATGAGCAGGGATGAAATGCCAGGCATGGGTGAGTCATGCTCTTCTTCTCAACACTGGGGAGGCTGAGGCAGCAGGACTGGTATGAATTCAAGGCTAGACCTAGACAGAATGTTCCAGGCCAGTCTGGCTGGACTGCAGTGAGACTTTGTCTCAAAATACAAAACAAAAGTAAGAAACAACTAATTAACACGGATGGAAGTCTACATACAACCCCTGTGTGACTTCTGAGAAGTTAAAAACAGCACTCAGGAGGCAGAGGAAGGCGGATCTCTATGAGTTGAGGCCAGACTGGTTTACACAGTTAGTTCCAGGCTGGTTAAGGCTCCATAGTGAGACACTGGTTTGTTTGTTTTTTTTTCTTCCCGTGGTAAAATTTGTATGAAGGCAGGCAAGATGGCTGCCCAAGCGAAGGGGCTGGCCGGGCAAGCCTGGTGGAAGAGAATTGACTCCACAAAGGTGTCTTTTGACCTCCATGACCCCGACCCATGCGCGAAAACAATATTTTGAAAAAGGGAAACAAACCAAACCAAAACTCTTTCTCTGAGGTCCCTCCCTAGCCCTAGCTTTCTTCCTGTGCCTGGACCAAGAGCCTCCTGCTCCTCACTGGCAGGACACAGGCTCACCTGCACCCTGATGAGGAGCGCTCCTTGGTTCCCAGATGCAACAGTACAAAATATAGGCTTGGGAACTGCCTGGGTTGGCAAAGTCCAGGGTCCAAACTCAGGCCTGGGCCAAAAAGAGCAGGCTCTGGGCAGGCATGTCCTCTTGGTCTCACTTTGTGGGTACTAGCATCAGCATAAAGTTCAGTACTGAGCACAAAACTTTGTGTCCCGTCACAAGAGCAAGGAGCCCCACTTGACCTTGACCCACATGACCCCACCTTATGGTTCATCTGTCATGATTTGAGGGGCTGCTTGGTACAGTCCAAGATCCACCTGTTGTAGGGATGGAGGTGGGTGGACAGCTTACTTAAGAGTTAGGCTTCTTCCTCAGGTAACTCATACTTTTTACTTCCTTTTAAATGGGGTCTACTGTGTTTCGGTGGTTGGCCTGGAATTTATTATGTGGACTGCAACAGCCTCAAAACCCAGAGCTCTTAGTGTCTTTGCCTCTGAGCGCTGACACTAACGGCCTGTGCCAACCGCTGACACTAACGGCCTGTGCCAACTATGCCTAGCTTACTTCTAATTCTTTTTTCCAAAAAAACTTTCATTTAGATTTATTTTTTTAATTTATTTTTATTTTATGTGCATGGTGTTTTTTGCCATGGGTGTTGGGTCCCTTGGAACTGGAGTTACAGACAGTTGTGATCTGCCATGTGGATGCTGGGAATTGAACCCCGGGGTCCTCTGGAAGGGCAGGCATTGCTCTTAACCCCTGAGCCATCTCTCCAGCCCCTAGATTTAGTTTATGCATATGAGTGTTTTGCCTGCGTGTATGTATGTGCATCTCACGCAAGTCAGAAGGGCATCAGATCTCCTGGAACTGGAGTTAGGATGGTTGTGAGCCACCATGTGGGTGCTAGGAATCAAACCTGGATCCTCTGGAAGAGCAGCCAGTGTTCTTAACCACCCCCACCCCCTTGAGACAGGGTCTTTCTCTGTGTACCCTGACTGTTTTGGAACTCTTTATGTAAATCAGGCTGGTCTTGAACTCACAGAACTCCACCAGCCTCTGCCTCTCTAGTACTGGGATTAAAGACCTGAGCCACCACACCTGGCTGTCACTTCTTTTTTGAGTCAGGGTCTTGCTATATAGCCTGTGCTATACTTGAACTTGAGATGCTATTGCTCATGCTCCCAAGTGACAAGGTTACAGGTGTGCACCACCACGCCTAGCTTTCTCAGGTCATTATTTAGAGAACAGAGGGATAAGACAGAGGAACTAGTTCATAGGCCAAGAACCTATCCCCCAGCCCCACAAGCTGGTTCCCAAGGAGCCTCTATCTTTGGAGTAAATGGTGTATGTCCTGTCTGGGATGTGGGAGGAAGCCTTAGGCCACCATCTGTCCACCCTCTTCCTCCTTCCTTCTGGGAACTGACCTCAGTGTCTCCTGCACACGATATACTACTGAATTACACGCCTATCATCCCAACTGGGTATCTAGCTTCCTAAGTACAATACAGGAGCAGTGACCTCTGAAACTATCAAGAAATGCATTCTACAGTAGTTTATTGTATGTACCTGTGACCCCAGGGACAGGAGGACTAGGGTCTGGTTCTAGGCACAGTGCTGTTTTAATGGTAGTACCAAGGCAGAGAAGCGTGCTGTCCTAAAGTTAAGGAGGATGAGTGAGGGCGCACCGTTTTCCTCACTGGCACGGTCTTCCGTGTTTAGCACCTGCTCATTCACTAGGTCTCCTTGCCGTGTGTCAGGTTGAACTGTACTAGGTGGCCTCGGTGTTTGTTTCAATTTTGCACCAATTGTAAGTCACATACATGCCATTTAAAGTCAATAGAGATGAGGCAGCAGAGCAGTAAAGTTTTAATGGAATAGCTTTGGCGCAGGCAAAGGCAGTTCCTAGATATCTCAGGACAGGTGGAGCCCCAAGAAGCTGGGATGTTTGCTAGGCTTCTGGGTTTAATTTCCCGGAACACGAATCACTGCCTGGTCCCTGGCTCCAGACCTTGCGCATCTGTCCAGCCTTCATTTGCAAAGCCTTGATCTGTGCACTAGGGATCAGAGCTGCTGCTCATGCAGTCGCCCAGATGTGCATCAGTGCAAGACAGCCATGACAGGAACGAGGGCCCCTTACTAGAGGAGCCCAGAAATCCTTTCATCGGAACGTGAACCCCTAATCCTAGGCAGGAGCGGGGCGTCAGTCTCCTGGGTGCTCATCTAGGCGGGAAGAGGGTGAGTGGAGAGGAGCCCTGTGTCCTCCCTCGGGCGCAGCGCGAAGCCCCAGCTGAGGTCTCTGGCAGCCCTTGCAGCCAGACGCTTTGAACCAGCACCACCTCCCCTAACCTCCCCCTCCCGCCCCAGTGAGTCCGAGCCTGCTCATAGAGGGCGTGGCTTCCATCCCCTCCCCGCCGCCAGATCGCCTGACCTTTCCTCCGTGCTGCAGTCAGAACCTAAAGGGCCCCGATCCCGCCCCCAATCCTGGTGACCTTGGGCCAGGATCCCCCCTCACCTGCTCCAGTGGCGAGCGACTCCCCGCGGTGCTTGCGGCGGCAAGACTGGAGAAGCGGCGGGGGGGTGGGGGTGGGCGCGGGCGCGCACGCGCGCACCGGCCCACGCGCGCCTGCCGCCCAGCCTGACGTGACCAGCGCAGGCCAATCCGTGGGATGCAAGGCCGGTGTAAGGGTTAGAGGTGGCGGAGAGAGGGGACCTCGGTAGGGACCGAGGATAGCAGGGCCGCACCAGAACCTTGGACAGCGCCAGCCTCAGGAAGCCCAAAGCGCCTCTGCGCGCACGCGCACTCAGTCACCGGCAGGTGACAGGGGACATCTGGGTCGACCTAGAGCGCTGGGACCGGGGTGGGGGGGGGGTAACCTGCGAGTACTACAAAGCCCAGTATTTGCCTTAACCCTCCCCACCCAGTCTCAGCCAGCCGGAGGCTCAGGGCGGCGGGGCAGTGGGCAGCAGCGGGGCCAGATCCATAGTTAGGGCGATGCGGCGCCCTTGCCAGTGCACGTGAGAGGGGACCGCGGGGGAGCCAGACCCGTACTCGAAGCAGGCACTGAGCTCGAAGGCCAGGGCCGAGCGCACTAGGCCCACGCCGCCCGCGCGCGCCGGCGCCGGGTGGTACAGGCGCCCGTTGGCCGCCAGGGGGAGCAAGCGAGCCGGCTCAAAGGGTACGGCCAGGGCCTCGGCGCCGCCGCAGTAGGACAGGCGAGGGGACGCGCTGTCGGCGGCCAGCAGGTGCGTGAAGACCACGGGCCGGTCTTCGCAGCGCAGGAAGTTACGCTCCCTGCCGCAGAGAGAGAGGAAGGGGAAGGAGGCCTCGTAGCGCCCGCTCTGGTTAGGTCTCAGACGGGAGAAGAAGGTGACCAGGAACTGCAGGTCTGTGGGAACAAAGGGCGCGACTGTACACGCTCGGTGAGCACAGCTTCCCAGACAGGCTCCTCTTCCCGGGCACGCCAGCAGTGGCATGGGGCTGCCCGGCCCCCCAGAGGGTGGGGGCTGCCTGCGGAGTGGGGGAGCTGGAGGCTGTGAAGGGCGGAGGGAGAGGGGCATGAGGGAGCAGTGCAGCGAGCAGTACCTTTGAAGCAGGTGACAAAGTTCTTCATTTTGGAGTCATCCAGGAAAAGCTGCAGACAGAAGGGACAGTGGACAGTAAGTCCTGAAAAGAAAGCCCTGAGCCCAGTATTGTGTCGCTGTTCTTGCTTTCCTGCATACCGTGTTCAAGGGGCGTGTGGAAGGGCCCTGCAGACTTTGCTCACACCGACGTACAGGTTTCCAGCGCTGCACCCCCTCTCCCCCCTTTTAAAGCCGGCCTGACTCCCGCTGCTCTCCAGCGACCGCGAGCGAGCATTCAGCTCAGGGATCGGTGCTAGGAAGCTAGCGTGGGGCGGGGCTGCGAGGGCGTGCAAGCGGCTGCCTCTGGGCTTTCGGGCTCCAGCCTGGGCTGGGAAGTCAGGTTCAACACCACAGTAGCACCTACTCCTAGGTTTCGGCCCTAGAACTCTTCCCCGCCCGAGGCCGGCTCTCCAGCTCCCTCAGGACCCCTCCCTCTGTCGGGCGCCAGGCACACCTGGCCCTGGTGATCCACGTAGTAGAAATACTCGCGGGTTCTGGGCTCCGGGCTTTGGCCCTGTGTGTAGGAGACACGTTCGTCCCCACTGCAGGCCCGAGCTCCCTGCGACCTCGCCAAGGCTGGAGCCAAGTTGCGCAGTGACCTGCAAGGAGGCCACATCCTTCCACACCGGAAACAGGTCACATAGACGGTCCAGCGCCTGGTGCTTTGGGTTCCGGCGGTAGCACGTGTTCGGCGGGGCGGGGCAGCCCCGCCCCGGGGAGGAGCCACAGGGTGGACCCCGCCCCCACCCCGCCCTTCCCTGCGTCGAAGTAACCGAGGCACAGGCTGTGAGTGTGCATTTGAACTTTATTCACACCGAGCGCTGTCACCTCTGTCCACACGTCGGAGGGAGCGCCTGCGGACGCCGAAGAGGTCCAGGATCCGCCCCAGAGGGCTACGGGCCTCGGCAAGGCGGGACTTTTGTTTTTAATAAATAAAAACAACTCTAAAAATATATATATATATATAAACGGGAGAAATTAAGTTTGACAACTGTTGGAACTCAGATTCCAGAATGGAAAACGCGGACGAGTCCAGGTCCCATCCGCACGCCGCCCGGGTGTGGAGTTTGGTCAGAGGCCGTGAGGTCAAAGGATGGTGGTAACTTGCTCAGCGAGAGGACGGCAATGGCAGTTCAAGAGATAAATAGCATCTGGTTAAAACTATGTCCTTAGCAAACTTAATTCTGACATCTGTCGTTCTATTTATATCTTTATACACAAGTAGGCTGGGTGCGGGTTAGATTCTGGACTCACACCAAAAACAAAAACCCAAAACGAAAACAAAAAAACCTCTCACCCTCCCCCACCCGCCCCAAGAACGCCTGCCTGGCCCTGGCCCCACCCCAGAGGGCTTTGGTGTGGGGCCTCCCCTTGCACAAAGACCTATTAGGCATTAGGTCGATGGGACTGCGTCCTAGTGGTGGCCAGCACAGCTCTCTAGAGCGCCTCTAAGTCTCCTTCAGGCCCGGGCCAGAGGCCTCTAGACTAGGGTAGGAGGGGTCAGGGCTAGAGTGCCTCGGTGGCAGACTGCCCTGGAGAGGGGACGAGGTCGTGTTGCCCTGAGCAACGCGGCATGTGCTTCGGCCGACCAGGAGGGCAGTGTCGCTCGGCTCCGGCAAACAGAAGGCACTTCTCGGGGCTGGCCTGCGGCCGGCGGGGCAAGCCGGTGCCCGCAGGAACTGGCCGCGAGATATGGCGCGGCTGCTTTGCCCAGGAGGGTCTGGGGCGGGGCAGGGCGGGCGTCTGGCGGGGCTTGGCATGCTGCCTCGCGCTGGGGCCTTCCCTCCCACCTCCCCGGGTGTCACCCTAGCTGGTGTCCGTAGCCCGCGTGCTATAGAACGCCTTCCATGAAGCTGGTATCTAGATGCTGAATGAGCACTCGCAGAAAGGACATCTCCTTTCGTGTGTTCTCAAAGATGACGCGTGGGTCATCCGACTGGCAGCGCAGGCAGTTGGGTGCCATCACCATGGCCAAGTTGCTGACGTCCATTTTGGTGATGGCTACGTTGGCTGGCTGCACGAACACCTAAGTGGGGGGAGCGGAGAAGGGAGAGGAGGAGAGCAGAGTGGAGGGTGGGCGTGGCTACTAAGGGGTTAGCAGGGAAGGCAGGTTGGGTAGGGTGAAAGGTGGGCATTGGCGTGGCATCGGGGGCAGAGCATGCATACCTGGAGGAAGCGAATGAGGTAGCACAGCACCATACGGTTGATGCGCGGTAGCGAGTGCACCACGGCCACTGCAGCCTCCGGGCTCTCGTAGTGCGCAATGCATTGTTCGTAGAATTCGTGAGGAATCAAGGGCTCCTCCAGTTCCCGATACCACAGCTTTAGCAGCGATGCTGAGGGCAGGAGTGGCTTAGATGGCTATAGTCTGAGGGCCCCTAAGTCAAGCATCTACCAGAGGCCACATCCAGAGATGCAGGGTGTGTGTAGTGTGTGCCAGGGTATAGAGCAGGCTGGAAAGGGCCCCCCTGGCCAAAGTTGTTGAGACGGAGCCCAGATCCCAGAGACATTAGCTGCTGGAGGACCTGGGATCAATCTTGGTGGTTTAGGTGTATGTAGGTCCACAATGACTACAAAATAGAATTTCTCAGAAGGGCTGTGCAGCTGCTGAAGGAGCTGGCTGAAAATGCCCCAAGAGCTGGGGGTTGGGCTGCTCTGGAGGGGCAGAACCCTGGGTGCATCAAGAACACTGGCATGTCCAGTGGGTGGATGTCTAGAAGTGATGGAGAGACATCACTTCACTAAGAGAATGCTTCTGGAGGTAGGTTCCAGGGGTGAAAGGATGGTGAGATGCAGCTATAGAAGGGCAGAGGGACAAGGCCATAGGGTGATCCTGAGGTGGATGACTAGACAGGGATCCTGGCCTGAATGGTGACCTACTTTCTGGGATATGCATGCAAGCCAACACCTGCCCGGCTGTTAAGTATGTTTGGGGCTCACCAGGGACGTGGGGGTCCTCCAGGCCTGTAGGCACCTTCCACTGGTCCACCTGCAACTTCAGGGCATTCACCTCATCAATGTCACCAGGGACCCTAGAGCATAGGGCAAGTGTCAGACTAGAGGAGATCATCTTGCCCCAGTGCTGAAGCCTGGAGTGTGGGAAGGTTCAAGGTCCTACCACCCTGATTAATTCTCTCATGGAGGGTGGGATGACTCAGGACTTGGTTGCTCTTTTGGGGGCATCCTGCCCCATGCACCTGGGTCAGTGGTGTGGGATTCTCTTGGGGCCTTCTCCCTTCAGGGACTCTGCTGGTTTCCCTGTGCAGCTGTCTCCCTCTGTCGGCCACTAAAGCCCAAACTTGCAGCCCTTGGCTTCCCTACTTATCCTTTGGGGGCTTGAGCATCCCTGGTCCCAACAGGTAAGTCATTACAGTGGCTGATAGTGCATAGGCAAGTGCCACCCCAGGGCACGGTCTGTCACATCCCTGTTCACACAGGATGAAGAACTGGGGATGCTGAGCTGCCTGGCCAGCTTCAATGCCAGCTTTGAGGCTCTAATCAAAGGTGATGTCCTTGCTGGTATCCGGGTCACTCTGGACCCCTACTGGCTGTCTCTGGTTGGCCATGCTGCTATTTTGGGCAGTGACACAGGCAACTTGCCCCCTATGGATGGGATACTGTCTTGTCTCTTTGGGTGCATGGCCTCTAGGCTTTATGGTCCCTGATAGTAGAGATATATAGTGAACCCACCACTGTGCTCTCTTTCCCCACCCACAGTCTGGGATTGGCAAGGCACCTGAAGATGCCCTCTGTCTGGTCACCGTTGAGCGCCAGCACCTCCTCGGAGAGCCGCGTCTGTACCCAGGGCAGCTGCCTGTCAGGGTAGCGCTCTTTCTGCATGCTCATGACCTCCTGCAGTGCACTGCCGAACATGGATGGGCTGAACACTGCGTTCTTGGCATGCCGTATTTCCTCCACGTTGGGTTTCTTCAGGCCCTGTGAAGACAGCCCAGCAATCAGGTCCTGTTGTGGTCTAGCCTCCTCCTTTCATCTCTTCTCCCTAACTCTGGGCCTTGGCCCAACAAGAACCAGGGCCAACCCAGACCCTAATCCAAGTCACTAAGGTGGGGTGTCTCCCATCAGGCCATCTGCAACACCCCAAACCATGGCTATGTAGAAAGGTGGAGGGTGAGGGTCCCCACCACGGGCTTGCATATGGCAGTGCCTGACTGCTGCCTTTCACCATGCCAGGAGTTCTTAGGGGGCAGTGCAGCCAGGATGCTATCCCAGGCTCTGGGAGGCTGAGTGTGGTACTCAGGTGGATGGAGTACCTTACTCAGGGAGGCTATCTGATGCCCTGTCTAGGATGTGTACCCGTTTGCACTGCTCCTCAGCTGGAGGCCCAGGCATGGGTCAGGGGCCCTGGAAGGGAAAGAGACTGTGGGAAGCGCAGGTGTAAGCCTTCCTAGCCAGCCACTACCACAGGCTGGGGCACTCTGCCAGCCAGTGCTCTCCTGAGCCTCACTGTTCCTCCATCAGGCTTCTGTGTGGTCTGCAGGAGAGCCACATGCCCTAGCCTGCTTCTCCCAGAAGCATCTGTACCTTCTTGGCCCCAGTGAGCGCTGCCTTCTGCAGTTTGTGGTAACAGTACTTCGCATAGGTGCTTATTGCCACCCCTGGAAGAGAAAGGGTTACAGTCAGCCGGGGTGGACACGTGGGACCCAGGGGCTGAGAACAGCAACTGTAGGGCTCTGGGACGTGGCCAGCCTCTCGCCCACCCGAGCTACACAGTAGCCCACACTCTCACAGGCACAGTCTTTCAGAGCAGAGACCCAAGAGGAGAGGCAAGGGGCACATCCTCCACCTCTAGGAGCTAGGGTAGGGTAGGAGAAATCCCTCTGCTAGCCTTCCTATAGCCACCTAGGACAAACAGGTTGGGAACAAAGCTGCTTCCCTGTAAGGAGTCATAGGTAAAGAAGAGCACACCCTGGGTCTAAGGCCTTCAACCCTACTTCCTTTCCTCCTTAGGTGACCCTAGCAAGACCTTTGGGTGTCCCTGGACCCAGGGGAAGAGGCTTCTGGATGTAGCATTTGGTGCTGTTGGCCAGCACTGGGGAAAGGCAGTTCTCCAGCAGCCCTGGCTTCCTCAGGGAGGGAGTGAAGTTGGAGGCAGAGTGTCAGGGAGAGAGTGGCCAAAGCTTGGCTCTTAGAGAAAGACAGCTTGTAGAAGACGCCAGTGTTCTGTGCCAGCACGTTATCTAACAGGAGGGTAAGACAATGGCAGGGCCGAAGCCTGGCTTCCTCTCTAAAGGTAGGAAGCTTTCTGAGTCTCATGCCCTGCAGGAGCTGGTGCCACTGGAGTGTTGGTAGGTGACAGACTAGAATGGAAGATGATGTCATGTGTCGTCCATCTGGTCCCAGGAAATGAGGGAGGCAGGTGACAGAACAAGGAGTCATGGACAGACCAGTCACCAGCTGCGTGCTTCCGGAAGGTCCTGCCTCTGTGACCCCCAGCTTGCTACCTGCTGGGGTCAATGAAGCCTGTGATTGGGAGTACCTCTGCCTTTGAAAGGAGACAGTTTCTTAGGGACATCTGAGGTCTTGGAGAGGTCCTTAGATCCCCCAACTTATAAAGGGATATAAACATATACTTATATATGTTATAATTATACATATAAGTATATTTATCCCATAAGTATATTTTGGCCCATGAGAACCCTTTATCACAAAAGTTTTATTCACATCTGTAAATGGGGTCTTTTCTAACCAAAATAATTATAAATTTCTCAGACATTTAAGTTTTGGATAATCTGCCCCAGGTCAAGTGATCCACAGACCAAGGCAGATCACCTTGGTTTTTGTTCTCAGCTACCTAGATAGTGTATCCTGCCCTTCATGATTGCTGTGAGGCTGCCCTGTTTTAAAGGATGGAGAACGCTGAAGTGCTTCCCCAGACCTGACTCCGCTCAGCAGATGAGGTCTGAGAGCAGCGGAAGGGAAGGGTCGTAAACCTACCC